CCTCCTCTCTTTCTACTCCTGTTCCCTCCCCCCTCCCTTGTATATATACTTGTTCTCTCTCCTTCACGTTTGTGTGTGACTAGTTAATGGTCCAAGTCTGACCGAAACGTCGTCATAAGTTTCATTCTATGTGTATCGACAAGCAAATATTAAAAACAAGTGAAACATTAGATTAATTTTAGACACGTTTCGCTCAGCGATGATTGCTACGTCCAGTACAGTCGTCTAAAACACAGGATCTTAGGTACATAAATAACATTTCGTCGAAACACAGCGATGAAAACTCAGTTCCCGTTATTTCCCTCTCTCTAAACTTGACCTTGTTTACTCTATCGATTCTGATTTTTTCTCAGTGTTAGATTGACAACTTTTCCGCGTAACATTTAAAAAATGTCTTAGTGGTGTCCTCATATAAAGCTTTTATTGGACAATGTTTCGTTCTAAATACTGTTTAAAATGAGATGTACTTTATGCTAAACTTTCTGCAAATAAAGGCATGTACCCCATACTTGTAACTTTGTTTACATTCATGTTGGCTTTACACACTTCAATGAATCCCGAGTAAGAATGTTTTTCAGTATTCAGAAATTATTTTAGTCCCATTTTATCACTCACATTGAAGATATTCTGCCTAACATGGACCAACAAGTTTACTGCAGTACTCCTGTATATTTTTATATTCTCATGAAGAGTGACAGTCATAATTCCGTAGATGAAACAATTCACAATTAACCCACTCATTGGAGATTATTATTTTTTTGGACGACGTTTAGGTTCCTTCTAGACTTGGTAATGGTTCAAGATGAGCCGAAACGTAGTCTAAACATTTATTTCAACATTTCTTGGGTTCGTTTTATGCTTTAATTTCCACACTGTCTTTTCTCAGTATTTTTCTGGATCTTTGTAACAAATAAAAACGGTTAGATGAATCGAATAAATGAAATTGGTGTAGACTTTGAGAAGCTTACGGTTGTAGCATCCAATTTGCACCTCCATCCTGCCGCTAAGAGGAATGGAAGAACATCATCGATTCTCAGGTCAGCAACCCAAAGCCTCACCCAGCAGGACACATCGCTCCATTAGCGAACATCTATGTACACTAAGCACACTACTCGCTAATATAGTTACTAACGCAGACTTTAAGACCAAAATTCATGAGTTAAATAAAGGATGGAAGTGGATATCTCTTCTATGACTTTAGACATAGAGGTAATAAAACAGAAACTGACCTGAGTACGTATTCCATACTTGGGAGTCCCAGTGCAGACAGCTGAACAGGGCCTCACACCGAGGTACTCTTTGCCACCTGACGTGTGTTAGGTGGTCATGCGGCTGTCGTCAGAAAAAGCTATGGTTCAGTACTTGAAAAGTTCTAACTACCTGAGTTTCTCACACTTAATGCGCCTAAAAAGAGTTATATATATATATATATATATATATATTATATATATATATATATATATATATATATATATATATATATATATATATATATATATATATATATATATATATATATATATATATGAACAAATACAATCGTACGAAAATAAAATATAAACAAATTAAGAAATCTGTGTTATTTTTATAAGTCAAGTGACAGGATGAAATATATAATAATTTCAAATGCCGTTTCATTGTCTCCAAGAGGGTTCGTTTGTGCCATTAACCAATGTTTATTGCACTTGTGTGTTTGGATCCTACGCTAGTACAAAAATCTCCAAAAACGGAGCTACGTTAAACAAAAAAGAAATAGCCAACCACTTCCATTCCTCTCAATTATGGCTCAAGTGGCCCTTTACCACCTAAAATGGGCCTTAAAGTAGAGCTGGCGACAATTAACCAGGCCGGTGGGTTCGCCCACACAAAGCCTTGCAGAGGTGATAATACCCGAGGGCAATACACGGGAGTTCATTTGGCAACACCAGTGAGCTTATTAGAATATACCAGGGAGCTTATGTGTGTGTGTGTTTGTGTGTGTTTGTTTTCAACAAGATCACAGAAAAGATGTGATATCAGTGATATCAAAATCTGCAAAATTACCACAAATATATATATATATATATATATATATATATATATATATATATATATATATATATATATATATATATATATATATATATATATATATGACACTCATCCAATTTTACCTTGGGGCGCATTATTAACTCTTCAATCTACGTCGACACTGTGATGTATCGGACTTTGGAAAACAATTTTAAAGTTGTGCACACATGTATATAATTTCTCCATCGCTAATCAATCTGTTTCTTATGCCATTTAGTGGCATATTAATATTTAAGTACTAGTGTTTTCGAGAGAGAGAGAGAGAGAGAGAGAGAGAGAGAGAGAGAGAGAGAGAGAGAGAGAGAGAGAGAGAGAGAGAGAGAGAGAGAGAGAGAATGAATAATAGAGCAAGAAAAAAAGTGAAAAAAACATGAGACCGCTGATAGCCAATACAGAGAATTTCATTGACTGTAAACGGTAGAGTTTTCTCCTCATTACTTTTTTTTTCACTCGATGGAAGGAGATCATTTGACAGTCTCTGTATCTCGGACGAAAACAAAACACGGAAGAGTTTTTGAATCGGGATTCAACCTGTGACCTTTTCCAGCCAAACACAACATGTGTTGCTGCAGGCATCACTCACAATACACACCACGACGGGTGTTGTTTTAGGTATCACTCACAACACACACCACGACGGGTGTTGCTTCAGGTATCACTCACAACACACACCACGACGGGTGTTGCTTCAAGCATCACTCACAACACACACCACGACGGGTGTTGCTTCAAACATCACTCACAACACACACCACGACGGGTGTTGCTGCAGGCATCACTCACAACACACCACGACGGGTGTTGCTGCAGGCATCACTCACAACACACCACGACGGGTGTTGCTGCAGGCATCACTCACAACACACACCACGACGGGTGTTGCTGCAGGCATCACTCACAAGAAGCACCCAAAATTACATTACTGTTGGAGATGACGTGAGACTGAATGGAAGGCGCTCACCGAGGAAGTTGATATGCTGAGGGTGAAAGTTGACTCTGCAATAACTATTCGGAACTAGTTGGTGCGTTGGTAAACAGAAATTATCCAGGGTGATGCGATCGGCCTGCCATATGAGCATCGAGAGGAAGCCTGTTAAACATCATGAATTTGGAAAAGATTGCCAGCCTTTTCTTTCTGGATCATGGGCATATAAAATTAGACCCAAATCTTGTATATCTCAACTAATATTCATATATACACTTTATTATATGTGTTTATTTTTAGCTTTTGTTCCTATGTTTTATTTTCAATTTAGCACAAGCATTTCGGGAATGGTCCGCAGGGACGATGATCTTTGGAAATACAAATAAAACTTTACAGCAGTAGCTGAAACGTTTTGTGACATAAATTAGCTTCTGCGTTGAGTATGCACCACTCTCTTGGATGATCTAGCAATTATCTCATCTCTGATTGCTGAACAAATTATCTTGTGTTTTGACATGGCTTGCCATTTCAATATACACATAAATGCTGGCTTTTCTGTTATGTTCAACGGAAATACTCAGAAGGTTCCTTGCATAGCACAACTTTGCGGAGAGTCAGAAGACGACTGTTATGCCACAGAATGGGCAATCACCAACCCTTTATGTACTTTTCTCACACCTCATCAGTGTGTCGAAAACCTCCTTACTACAAAAATTCGACAAAGACAGTCAATTAAAGAAGTGAAAGATCTGGCTCACAGACTTTCAGCTATACTTGTTTCCTATTTGCGTATTGCTTAATATTAAGCTCATTATACTTCAAGAAACAGGTCTAAAATAAAGATGATTCTAGAGTCAGGAGGACAAGAAGCCTCTGAACTGCACTGGATCCAAGTGGCTTATTACCTTTCAGTACTGATGAAGACACATAAGTTACAGAATAAACTGGGACAACGTTTCGCTCAGAGAAACGATACCCTGATCATAAACTTGATCTAGAGCAAGTCCTTTATTCAGTACATGAAGTACTCACTCCTCACACGAGTAGAACTACGGATGTTTTATTAAATTATCGAACTACAACCAAAACTGGAAATGGTCTGTATAATGTTGACTAGTGGGATGCCTGCACAAGCCAGAGGCTGCTTGAACGTTTTCTTAGTTGCAGTACATGCGTAATAAAAGTTTCAAGCCGATCAGATGAGGTGTGCTCCAGTGAAAAACAAAAGCTTAGGAAAAAATTTCAGGCAGTAGTTACAGGATACCTCTTCGTAGATACCTAATAATTTTAATATAATTATAAAAGTAGCAGCAGCAGTAGCAATCTGTGAAGACACTGGTGTAGACGTTAATCAAACAGGAAGAGGCTGAAATTAATCCTTGAGCATACATCTGCCACGAGTGTCCTCGCAACATGAAACAAGGCTAGTTCACTAGGCTCTTGTTGTCTGTAGGATCGATGGCTCAGATGGTAGGGTGAATTGTACAATGTTTGGCCTCCTGAGGCGGGACTTTGTGTCGTAGGGTCGAATCCTGGCCTGCCGCAGTTTGGTATATATATATATATATATATATATATATATATATATTTATAAAATTTGTTGCGCTTGTTTTCCCTGGTCTTGAAAAGTAATATTGTATTAAAAATAATGGTGAAATTTTTAAGCGTTTATAATAATAATAATAATAATAATAATAATAATAAACACAATAACAATAATAATAATAATTATAAAAATATTTTTTATCGTACTTCATTATTGATATTTTGTCATTCATTATCATTTGAAACAGATTTCTGAAAGCGAAGGCAAAACAACAAGAAAACAGAAACTACAACATTTGTTAATTTAATAAATGAGGATAAAACTTGTGGAAGCAGTAAATTCTGACAGTGGTCAAGACGAGACCAGATGAAGGTGCCGAAGAAAGGTGACGAATATCAGCGTTGATTGAGCTGTCGTGATTATGATGTTACTCAAGAATTTTTTTCGGTTTTGTTGCAGAGCCTCCTAAGAGTGTGGAGGTAATGGACAGCCAGATGGGGTTGGCCAGGGACGGCATTATTGGTCCTTACTACGAGGGACAAAAGATTATTGTTACCTGCCTCTCTAGGAAAGGTGAGTCGTAGTGCGCTTATATAACATTTCGTTTGGGAAGTGTACAGAAACATACATAAATGTATATGCACACACATGAACACAAAAGTACACACGTGCGCAAACATACACATGCGCGTGCATACACATTCACGCTCGTGTACATACTGACATTCAACCAGATTTCAGAAGCTTGCAGCTTTACAAAGACCTTTAAAGATGACGTAAGCTATTGAAAAGCGCCTTTTATGCCCTTTCGTCATGTCATCCGACTGAGCTGCCTTGTTAAGCTTACAAACATAAATGCCTGCAGCCAGGCTCTGCTACGTCACAAAACATGCACACGCGAATGTAGCAGAAATCTCAGAAAACTACACTTTGCCTGCTTGTAATTTTCCATAATTTTGAGAAGTTCTGTCTCTATTAAATGCTTTCTGCGCCTTTTATGCTTATGTATTTTTATGTATCTCTTTCTTTTGTAATTATAATAATTTATAATAATATTAAGAGCTAAAATATAACAATAAGAAACTGAGCACAGGAAGACTGAACACACACCGATCTTGTTCCAGCTAAGGTAGTGTGTCTTATACTCTTCTACATGTACCAGTATGGCACTGGGCATAATCTGACCACCAGCATACCCACTGCAGGCACGCCGCTACCCAATGTGACGTGGTGGCAGGGAGAGCGTCTGCTAGACAGTGTGTGGGAGGTGGTTGGTCCTAGCGAGGTGCAGAACAACCTGGTAGTGGAGAGGTTGACCCGGGAGTGGCACAACGCTACGCTAACCTGTCGTGCAGCCAACACCAACCTCGCTCAACCTGTCTCCGTCCACGTCGTCGTCAAGATGTACTGTGAGTGTTGTTTGAGGAGTTTAGTCTGTAGGGTTAGTCTTAATTACTTATTTGTTATTGTCTACTTGTAGCTACAGGAGCAATGCTTGTGATGTCCCATCTTTACCCATTTTTTTTCATTACATTTTTTGTTTATCAGAATATCTAATGGCTGTTTTCCTCATGACGCTCCCGCGCGCACACACACAAACACTCTCTTTCTCTCTCTCTCTCTCTCACACACACAACGACATACACACACACACACACACACACACACACACACTCTCTCTCTCTCTCACACACACACACACACACCCCACACGCACATACCCACACACACACATACACACACACACACCACACACACACGCACACACACACACACACACTCACACACGCACGCACACACCCACACACACACCCGCCCACACACCCACCCACCCGCACACACACACACACACCAACCCGCACACACACACACACATACACACCCACATACACACCGACACATATACACACGCACTTTCTCACACACCCACACCCCCCACTTACACACACACTCACGTGCACACACACATATATGCACATACACACCCACATACCCACCCACACACACACGCACGTACACACACACACACATACACACACACACACACACACACAACACACACACACACACACACACACATATATATATATACACACACACAGACACACACACACACACACATTAGGAGGAAGACAACAGTCAAATACCAGGTGATCAGGCTGAGGAAAGAAGGTGGGGAACCCACAAGAAACGACCAAGAGGTATGTGAGGAGCTCAACGCGAGATTTAAGGAAGTATTTACAGTGGAGACAGGTAGGACTCTGGGAAGACAGAACAGAGGAGGACACCAACAAGGAATATACAGACAAGTGTTGGATGACAAACACACAACAGAGGTGGAGGTGAAGAAGCTGCTAAGTGACCTTGATACCTCAGAGGCGATGGGACCGAAAAACATCTCCCAGTGGGTCCTTAGAGAGGGACCACAGACGCTGTGTGTGCCATTTACCACGATCTTCAACACATTCCTCGAAATTGGACAACTACCTGAGGTATGGAAGACGGCAAATGTAGTTCTCATTATTAAGAAAGGAGACAGAAACGAGGCACTAAACTAAAGACCAGTATCACTGATGTGTATAGTAAGCAAAGTCATGGAGAAGATTATCAGGAGGAGAGTGGTGGAACATCTGGAATGGAACAAGATTGTAAAAGACAACCAGCAAGGATTCATGGAAGGCATATCCTATGTCACAAACCTCCTGGAGTTTTATGACAAGGTAACAGAAGACAAGAGAGGGAGGGGTGGGTTGATTGCATTTTCTTGGACTGCAAGAAGGCCTTCGACACAGTTCCCCACAAGAGATTAATGCAGAAGCTAGAGGATCAGGCACGCATAACAGGAAGGGCACTGCAATAGATCAGAGAATACCTCACAGGGAGGCAACAACGGGTCATGGTACGAGATGAGGTATCACAATGGGAGCCTGTGACTAGTGGGGTTCCACAGGGGTCAACCCTAGGATCAGTGCTGTTTTTGATATATATGAATGACATGACGGAAGGGATAGACTCAGAGGTGTCCCTGTTTGCAGATGATGTGAAGTTAATGAGAAGAATTAAATTAGATGAGGATCAGGCAGGACTCCAAAGAGACCTGGACAGGGTGGACACGTGGTCCAACAACTGACTACTCGAATTTAACCCCGCCAAATGCAAAGTCATGAAAATCGGGGAAAGGCAAAGAAGACCGCAGACAGAGTATAGGTTAGGTGGCCAAAGGCTGCAAACCTCACTCAAGGAGAAAGATTTTGGAGTGAATATAACACCGAGCACGCCTCCGGAAGCAAACATCAACTAGATAACTGCTGCAGCATATGGGCGCCTGGCAAACCTGAGAATAGCGTTCCAATACCTCAGTAAGGAATCGATGAAGACACTACACCGTGTACGTCAGGCCAATACTGGAGTATGCAGCACCAGTTTGGAACCCACACCTGGTCAAGCACGTCAAGAAATTAGAGAAAGTGCAAAGGCTTGCAACAAGGTTAGTTCCGGAGCTAAGGGGAATATCCTACGAAGAAAGGTTAAGGGAAATAGGCCTGACGACACTGGAAGACAGGAGGGTTAGGAGGGTCATGGTAACGACGTATAAAATATTGCGAGGAATAGATAAGGTGGACAGAGACAGGATGTTCCAGAGATGGAGCACAATTGGAAGTTGAAGACTCAGATGAGTCATAGGGATGTTGGGAAATATTTCTTCATTCACAGACTTGTCAGCAAGTGGAATAGTTTGGAAAGTGAGGTAGTGGAGGCAGGAATCATACATAGTTTTAAGACGAGGTATGATAAATCTCATGGATCAGAGAGAGAGAGGACCTAGCAGCGGTCAGTAAAGAGGCGGGGCCAGGAGCTCGGACTCGACCCCCGCAACCTCAACTAGGTGAGTACACACACACATACACACACACACACACACACACACACACACACACACACACACACACACACACACACACACACACACACACTCCAACCTATTTTCATTGTACAACGATACTTTCCTTCATAGATCTCAACGTCAATTTTTAAATATTTCCTGTAAATCTTCAAAAGCTGTTCTCTCTTCTTCTAGGTTAGATTAGGCTGGGCTATGGTAGGTTATATAAACCTGTAAGAATCTTTAATATAACCAAAAATAAGCATTTTGGAAATAATGGCAGTGATAAGGTGCGGCAACAAGCTAGTAGAAAGAAAAATATAGGAAGCGCTACAATCTAAGTTTTTATAATCGTTTATTAATAGCATTCAGAAAACAGAAGTTTGTGGATATGGGGAGGGAGAACGCTGGAGGGAAGAGGGAGGGTTAGTGCTGGAGGGAAGAGGGAGGGTGAGTGCTGGAGGGAAGAGGGAGGGTGAATGCTGGAGGGAAGAGGGAGGTGAGTGCACGTGGGAAGAGGGAGGGTGAGTGCACATGGGAAGAGGGAGGGTGAGTGCACGTGGGAAGAGGGAGGGTGAGTGTACGTGGGAAGAGGGAGGTGAGTGCACGTGGGAAGAGGGAGGGTGAGTGCACGTGGGAAGAGGGAGGGTGAGTGCACGTGGGAAGAGGGAGGGTGAGTGTACGTGGGAAGAGGGAGGGTGAGTGTAGGTAGGAAGAAGAATACTTGGTGAAATGGTGAGGTAAAGAGCGTCTGTCATTTTTACATTGTAAAAATGACAGACTGAAGGAAGAGTAACTGTACAAGAAGAGGGAAATTAAAAGAGTGTTGAGTGCAAAAGGAAAGCCAATAAGAAAGCGGCGAGCATATCAGCAAATTTTGCTGAGGTAAAAGGACACAAGTGCAACTAATGTGACATTTATTGTGGCAACGTTTCGCTCTCCAGGAGCTTTATCAAGCCATTACAAACAATACATGGACACAGAGGGTACATAAAGGCTCAGAGTGAGGTGTAATACTAGTGAGGTACCATTTCGATGTTCACTAGTGGTAGTAGTAGTAGTAGTGGTAGTGACAAAAGTAATACAATATGGTAGAGCAATTAATTCGTACATGAGTAAAAGGATATAAAAGCTATTACTTGGGTAACATAAAAATAGGTTGGACAAATATAGACTGGAATGAGGCAGCTTGTTTCAGTGTTCACTCTCTGTGCTGTGTGTAGTATAACAGGAGAGACTATGTGATGGCAGGGTTTACTGTTTTCAGGAGGATTCTTGCTAAGACTTCGGAGATAGTGAAGCTGCCGTTGTTTTGTTTAATTGTATTCGAAACAGCGATCAGTGCTGATTCGAGGCACTTGCGTCTGCGGAAATTAGTGATCAAAGAAACTAATTTCCGCAGACGCAAGTGCCTCGAATCAGCACTGATCGCTGTTTCGAATACAATTAAACAAAACAACGGCAGCTTCACTATCTCCAAAGTCTTAGCAAGAATCCTCCTGAAAACAGTAAACCCTGCCATCACATAGTCTCTCCTGTTATACTACACACAGCACAGAGAGTGAACACTGAAACAAGCTGCCTCATTCCAGTCTATATTTGTCCAACCTATTTTTATGTTACCCAAGTAATAGCTTTTATATCCTTTTACTCATGTACGAATTAATTGCTCTACCATATTGTATTACTTTTGTCACTACCACTACTACTACTACTACCACTAGTGAACATCGAAATGGTACCTCACTAGTATTACACCTCATTCTGAGCCTTTATATACCCTCTGTGTCCATGTATTGTTTGTAATGGCTTGATAAAGCTCCTGGAGAGCGAAACGTGGCCACAATAAATGTCACATTAGTTGCACTTGTGTCCTTTTACTTTACATATTGTCGGTAATTCTACCAACTTTATTACAAATTTTGCTGAGAATAGGAAACTGTTTTGGGGAGATATCACTAACAGACGAGGAAGCCTGTGGAACAAATGGACTTAGTAATTAAAAACCAAAGAGGGGAGATATTAGATGAGGAGGTGGAGGTACTGGAAAGGTGGAACGATATTTTGGCGATTTGCTGAATGCTAATGATGACGGAGGGGGGAGCGGTGATTTTGTGAACGGGAGAGGTAAGGAACAGTGGATACGATTGAAGAAAAGCCTGATGTCGATTTGGGGAAAGTGCTATGAGACAGTGGATAGAATGAAAGGGATGGGGGAAGGGGTGTTAAAGGGGCTTGGATAGATGAGATTCAGACAGATGTTAAAATCATATGGGGATTAAATGACGGAGTAGTTGGTGTATTTGTTTAATATATGCATAAAAGAAGGGATGATACCAAATTACTGACACAAAGCGTGCATAATTTCCTTGAATAAGGAAAAGGTGACAAGAGAGAACGTAAGAATTATAAGCAGATAAGAGTGTTGAGTGTACCTGGTAAAGATGCAATGGCAGAATTATTAAAGAAATTAGGGATAAGACAAAGTAGGACTGCAGAGAATCAAGAAATGTAGCGGATGTACAG